ACCACAAAACTGTGTGGTATATGCCTTATCCCTGTAGTTAGGAGGCTTGGAAAGCACCTCTGTAATAAATTCGTTAACACGAATCTATGTCTTAACTCGATCGCCAGAACTCCCATCATAGTTGTTAATAATTTCAGAGCATAAGAATTCTGCATGGCGCATGTTACGCAATGGAGCATTCCATTCCTCTGTGTTCGGCAAATTGTTGCGAGACTTGCCTGAGAGGTTAGCAGCACTGGCTGAATACATAGGTAGGCCTCTGCGAGTCTGCGATTGTATAGGCCAGATACGTATTCAATCACCTCTGATGATGAAGTCGAATGCATGGTGCATCCCTAAGGGATTGATCAGCGCCAAGAGCTTTGTCCTTTATCCTTTTATCGTTTAAGGATTCTACTGCATGGACCACATTTAAACGGTTGCTAGGGAGACGCCATGGATGCTGTTCAGAAAAGTACAGGTCATTATGACTGGCGAGTGATTCAGCAACTTTGAAACTAACACTATTCTATGAGTGTTCGGCATTCAAAGATTGGTACCTTATTGCAAAAGTACTTTTGCTGACTACCATGGCAACTGCACCCCGATAATATAGCTTTTTAATGCCACTCTACTCTCGTGGAAAGGTGCTCGACAGCACGACAATGTGAGGTCGAAGCTTTCCTGCCACCGAGTTGCAACTGTTAATATGAATTTGGATGAAAAGGGGATTGGTGAAAATCCACGTCCTTCCTTTGACCTTGAATTACGTCGCAGTTTTTTTCCAGAAGCAGCACTGAAATGAACGATGTTTAACAAGTTCAACGAGTAGAAAAGAAGAATGGAAATATATGTATATATATACATATATAGGTGGGTGTGGCGCAGTGGTCGGAGGCTTTCTGAGACACACACGTGGAATCGATCCCGCACCCATGGCCTACCAAACCTTCCACTCTTCCACGGTCGGCAAATTGGTATCAGACTTGTCTAGGAGGATAGCAGCACTGGCTCGATATATCGGTAGGCTATCGCAAGTCAATGTAAAATGCCAGATATGCATTCAATCACCTCCAAACGATGCTTAATGAAATCGAATGCATGGCGCATCCCTCAGGAAATGATCAACGCAGAAAGCTTCATCCTTTATATATATATATATATATATATATATATTGGAAAAATCCAAATCGTGAAGTTGAGATAAACAAATCGAAATCGATGGTGCTCTGATCATAGAGACCGAATGCGCGAATCTAACCGAAAACGTCGAGATTTTTTCGTAACATCCACAAAATGCTTCGGCGCTGTCTCCGGATGCACTGCCTAGACACATATAAAGCTCAGCAATGTCATTATTGCCTACTAAGAATAGATCGTCTTCAAAATTTACGGGAATGCATGGATTGCCTACGTGGGCCGATATTTAGTCAAAACAGGTGCTACAGATCCCCAAAAACATCACTAGGATGTAAACGCTACCAGGAGAGATCGCGCAAAAAATCGACGGTCATGTTAGTGAGTGTCAATATCATGAGTGATTGTTTACTTCTCCTATTTTATTAAAGTATTCTTTCGAGATCTTCTTTAGCTTATCAAACCTGGTTTATAACCATACCATACTTCGTGGACTTCTCTCGGTTATCCTGACTATTTTAATCAATTGTTGAATAGAAAAGTGCTCTACTCCACCGGATTTTTAGCTCGATGCAACCACGAAGGACCATAACGCGAGAGATAACTGCTTCACAGAAGTCTTACATTTTGTTCAATGAAAAATTTGCTCTCAAGTCCACAGGGGAAGTGATGTGTCATTAATCAATCACTGATTTGAAGCTTTGCTTCTTTTATGTCGCTGTGGAAACGGTTCTCGAGGTACAAGCTCGGAGTGCAGATGAATTGTTTTGCCACCAGTAGACTTCTTTCCCAATTTTTTCGTTTCTTTCTGGCTAGTCAAGTTCGTCATCGTATAGTTAACCATGTTTGTTAACTCCATGCATTTGTTTTTGCAATATAATTAGTTTGCCTGTTAACGTAATTATTAAATGGGTTCAATAATTAATAGACAAATGAAGCAGTCTCCATTTGAGTCCAAGCTCATCTAGTGCTAGGTGGTACCATGGCCTTCTTGTTATTCCTATGTAAATAAAGCGTTAGTGAACTTGGAGGCGTAGTATATACTTTGGCTCAGAAAGGCTTCCTGCGCAGAGTACGGCATCGCTTACTTACCAAACGTTAATTTGTTTTCTTGTAATGTTTCTAATGTGAGAAGGTTAACACAAATAAACAGTCAACTGAAAGAAATCAGTGAATAGTCTTGATTCATCCATAGAAAATAACAGAGTATCATCTCTTGGAATTACCCATAATCCAAGTATTATTTTAAATGGCAACCAATACGATTGTGCACAGCAAAAAAAGGATCCATCATGACGTCATATCGAAAATGCCTGGATTTCTAATGAAAACTCCTTTTAATGTTTGATGTCAATAATAAAAACAATCGCTAAAGTAACGAGCACAGATGTTTATAGAGTGCTGCGATTCGTAACAAACCGTGTGGTGAAAGATGTTGACCGCCGGTGAAAAAGCTGAGCTTCGTTCTCTTATCGTACATCCAGAAAACGGATCTTTCAGTGAAAATTTTGTCGTACGAAATCAGATAGCAGTTCTTACACGATTTCATAACACGACCAAGGACTTCATTTGCAAATGTCACATCTACTGGTTCGATCAACTCGCTCTGAAAAATATTAATGAACAGAAAAGAGAACGGTGTTAATAAATCCCTAATGGATACGCCGTAAGACCAGGGATCGAGCACCAACGAGCACGTATTTAATGTAGGGCACCTCTAACCTTCACACTTACGCTCCCCCCAACACATTCCGTAAAAATCGAGTAGAAAATCAGTCTTTTTCTCGACCTAGCAGGTCTGATATTACTCTGCTGACTTTGGAGGAATAGATGATCTACACGTGTGCGTTACAGGATTTTTAGCCATTCCGCCGCAGGCGATTATTAAAAGAAACGCGCTTCGGCTACCGCATTGCGTGGCTGGCCTCACAGACTACGCGCAATTTCTCATCGGCTCCCAACTTTCTGGTTTTCTGACAATAGAAAGTCATTTCTCAATAAATAAAGAACTTGAGGTATTTTGAACTAAACAGGATTGTAGAACAGACTTTGTGCTGTAGTTACAAAAGTTTGAATGATGTGCACGCCACTGTTTACTGGGTGGTACTATAGTCCAAATTGTAAATGCATTGCTGTCGGCGCTTAGTATTTTGCGGTTTGTTTTGAGACCTCTATTTCGGTGTTTTTTATATCCGCCCATTCCATAGAATAATCATCGTGATTGAATGAAATAACAGTCACCTACTAGTTAAACTGCTGTGCAACGAATTTTTTCGGAAATAAGTTTTTCTAAATTATTAAGCGCACAGGAAGGCTTTCCGGTCTCACCTTTCCCATTTTGATCTGCTTTTGATTAGCCATCGAATGAATATCTATAGAGTGAATAAAGAAACTCTGGAACCCACTGAACTGAATATGGACATTATATCCTTTGGTTAAGATCGCTAAGGACACTGCAGTGTCCTTACGGGACGTAATGGTTTAACACATGCAGAACACGGGCACTGAAATTTGAGCACACTTTTACGACAGTGTACGTTATTAGCAAGAGCCTTTTTACCGCACTTTCTGTATCCCATCGACAGCTTGCCCAACACAGATGTTACTTCAGGGGTAGGTCATGGAAATATGTCCTCTTCACTTAATAACCGATAAAAATTTTTTTCGAATGAGTTCATTTGGAGTGAGAGAACATTGTTCTTGAAAAGAGTATGCGGTGGAACTGTTTTCAGTGAAGAGGCGCAGAAATGCTTCGGAGTGAACACTGGAATTGACAGTTTGGGGGTGCTTTTCGCTATGATAAGACGTCTACTCATTAAGGAGACTCGTTCAAAGTGGCCCGATGCTCACGTAATATACACTCACCAGTAGGTTTCACAATGTGTTTTCCTTCGAGACAGTTATTAGGTCTTATAATATTTTTCAATTTATATATGCATACAATTTTCTTATAAGACCTTCAGTTTCTGCTTCACCAGTATTACCCGTCGTCCCACTGAGAAGTCAACCCACTGATCGTTGAGTTGCTCGAGATGATCGCAGTATAAAAGAATAAAGGATAAAATTCTCGGCGTTGATCAATCTCTGACGGAGACGCCATGCATTCGACTTCATTAAGCATCATTAGAGGTGATTGAATGCATATCTGCCCTATACAATGACTCGCGGTGGCCTACGGATGTATCGAGTCAGTGCTGCTACCCTCCCAGCCAAGTCTGGTACCAATTTGCCGACCTCGGAGGAATGAAGGGCTTTGTGGGCCTGGTGCAGGGGATCGATTCCATGTGTATTGCAAGGTGCCTCTAACCACTGCATCACACGCATAAATTACGACCAGGTTTCTGGCGAGTACCATAAGGCGAGAGGAATCGTGGAGTTGGAAAAGTTGGTACGGAGCCACGTCTTCTTTCTTCTCCTCACTACATCCTCGACACTATTGAAAGCTTTCCAAGCCTTTCGTTTGCTCTTTCTCAATTCCGGAGCTAAGTTTATTACGTTGACTTCTCAAACTAGATAGACGTAGCTAGACAATTCCGGGATAGTTATTTTGTTGAGCGCGAATGAGGCTTGCGAAACCATTCTGTTCATAATGAACATCGTTTCTGTGAGATTTAGACGAAGACCAGTCCTTCCAAATGCATTATCAAAATCGTTCAGCATTAAGTCAACCTGACTAGTGCTTATTCTTCTAAGAGCTATGGATGCCACAAAGTGAACATTGTGACATTGCCGACCATCGATTATAACGTTTTGGAAGGTGCCAGTAAGCAATTTTCGCGAGAGGGAATGACCTCACCTAGGTCCTTTTTTTACACAGATGTTAATATCATTATAGAATGATGATATTTCCGTCGAGAAATTTCTATGTAGTTCACGACGAATCTTTATACATTGAGTAAGCAGCCATTGCTATCCAGAACTTCCATGACTCCTTCTGTCTCATCCGAATCAAAATCTTTCTTTAAATCGGTGAAAGAATAACAGAATGATAAATTGTACTCTCGCGATACTTCTGATTCTTGTCATCGTGTCATTGTGTAGTCCGTAGCACTGAATTTTTTCGAAATCCTACTTTCTCACATGGCTGTTCCTCGTCCAGTGTTCTGTCTTGTTGATAGTAAACAGAATGGGCGATAGTTGTAGATATCGTAGACGCTTTTTGACCAATAACATGGCCTTTCTGGTCTTCCCTTGATTAGGAAGCTTGCATTCTGACAGGTAACGTGTGAAGAGCCGAGCCGTTGTATTTATGAGGACTGATGGAAGGTTCTTCAGGTATTCAGGCTTTATCCTGTCCGGACCAGATGCTCGTCAATTTTTCAAGGATTAAATAAAGCGTCAGATTTCGGAAGGGATAACCGCCAGTGGGACGACATATCGGTCTTCCTCTACTTCTATAAAGGAACGAGAACGTGGGTATTAAGGAAATCCGAACAGTAATCATGGAATATTTTCTCCATTCCGTTAAAGTCTCCAACGATGACCTTGAGGAATGTATGGTCTTTTCTGTAGAACTTCTGCAAATCCGTGCAAAATGCTTTGACTTCGTCTTCATCCTATCTTGATATCTATGAGTAGACGGCAGCGATTGTCATATGCGATATTGATCCGCATCTCTAGAACTGCAAGCGTCTGATTTGGGTTGTTAGTTGTTTGTATGAATCGATGTTTATAGCCAAACTTGAATTGACGAGAACGCCGCGCTCCCGAATCCTCTACTGCCGCATTTTCCGTAACAGTTGTTCTATGGTTTCACAAACAGTATAGAAGGGGCGGTGTCTTCTCGTCTCAGTGGGCCCGATGACATCTTACGTCATCCTTCTTGCCAGCATGATCAAGTGCTATATCGAAGACTGACATGAAACTAAGCGTGCATTATGGATACAGATCGTCGGCTTTGTCCTTCCAGATGTTGGCAGCATATAGTGGTCCTGAGATTTCGATAGTATCTCCGTACTCGACCTAATCAAAGCTGCGGCATCTAGAGCTTCTTTGGGCCAGGAAAATGTGTTTATCTTACCGCGCTTAGCACCTGATGGCCACGTATGGGTTGCTGAGCTGTGAAGGTTAGAGTTCGATGTACTTAATGGTAGCTTACATTGTGAAGCATCATGCCTAATGCTTAACACTCATGCGTGAATATGTCATCACAGGCAGAGAAGATATGCGTGAAATCGGCACCGCAAAAAGAGAGAGTCCATCGACGAGGAATAGGATTAGTTCATGCAACATCTTCACTTTGAAGGGTGAGAGTTTGAAACTCACTAAGAGTCTTTCTCTCCAGAAACTAACTCTCTCCAGAAACATTCGAACTGATATGCCAGTGCGGCATCGCTTGAGCCTAAAGTAGCCACTGACGCACGTCCAAACATCGAAAACAATGCAGGCAGGAGATAAAACACGATCATAAAGAGAGAATAGCAGCAGTTATGGCAGAAGCTGCAGAGGTTGTGAGAAGCATTCACAGAGCACAGCAAATCTTCGCCGATTACAAAACCAAGATGACTGAACTTTGACGTCCGGACGGAACACTTACAACTTTCAGGGGGGCAATGGAGAAAATCATTCACGATTACTACTTGAATCTCTTTAGTAGCCACGCCCTTTTGTCCTCATATTAGGTATAGGATGATGAATATATCGTGCAATCAGTTTTCGCTCCAAAGTTCGGCATGCTATTTCGTCGGCAACGAATACAACGAATAGAATAATACCAAGTCCAGATGCCATAGGATCTGAACACCTCAAGAATTTTTCACCAGCTCTCGTTGACAAATTCAGCCGGCTTTTCACAAATCATCTGTCAGAATGCAAAATTCCCATTCAGTGGAAGACAAGAAAAACTGTTTTGTTAATCAAGAAGAGTGGTCTCCACGATATCGGCAACTATCGACCAATCTGCTTGCTGATTGTCGTCTACAAATTTTTCGCTGGACTTATGGAATTGACAGAATACTGGACGAAGGACAGGCATAAGAGCAAGCAGGGTTTCAAAGAAGATTAAGTATGATGGACCAAATCCACACGATAACAAGACTCATCGAAGTATCGGGAGAGTACAAAAGACTTTGTCTCACTTCTATCGATTTATAGATAGTTTTTGACCCAAATGAGATAAAAGCAGTCGCAGAAGTCCTGGGAAAACCAGAGAGCACTTATGTGTATGTAAAAATTCTTCATGAGTTATATAAGATTTTCACAATCAAAATATCACCATTCTACAAAGATATTTACATCGAAGTCAAATGAACGCTTATTCATGCGATTCGGCCTAGCCAAATTATTTACTCCCACCTTTGAGAATATCATACGAACACTGGAACCGGATGACATGAGAGAGAATGTTGATGTCGGGAATTAGACCACCTTCTCTTTTTTGATGACATCGCCCTTATAACATCAAGCATTAGCCAGGTGGTACGAGTGTTTGCCAACTTCGATAAACCCTATGGAAAGATTGTTCTTTGACAAAATCTAGCAAAAACGATGTTCATTAGGAACGGATTTGTTTCGCATGCCCCATTCACGCACAACGGTACGAATATCTCCGAATGGTTCAGTTATGTCTATCTAGGTCAGAAAATAAATACGATAAAAGAATTAGCTCCAGAGTTGAGCAGGAGGAAAGGAGTGGATTGGTAGCAATCAAGAGCATCGATGATGTAGCGGAGAGAATAAGGAATGCCCGACTCCGTGCTCTTCTTTTTGATTCTACGATTCTTCCTGCACTAGCGTTTGCATCAGAACCCTAGCCGTTGCGTAATTAGGATGAAAGATCACTCAGCTTTATTGGATGCGCGATCGAAGGGACGATGCTAGGAATATCCCATTTCACACAGATAAGCCTGGGGATCCAAAGGTCCGACCAACGTCAGCGAACAAAAATCGCAGGCGCCGTTCTATACGACAAACTGTCAAAATAAAGTGTGCCAGACAAGTAATGCGTGTGAACGACTACAGATGGAGAAGAGCCGTTAATGACTGGATTCCTCTTGGTGTTAAACGTGCTGCAGGATGACCAGCGACTCGATGGTCAGAGTTTTTTTCTGAAAACCTTAGAATAAAGGTATGATGCTCAAAGAGAACCCACTGGGTTGACCCCACCTCAACTATTGCACGCGACAAGAATAAGTGGAAGCTTTACTGGCATAGACTCAAGTGACTCGACGATCAATGGGACGACAGGACAGGATAGGTGAGGATATATATATAGCGAGGGCTCTAGATTTATGATTGTAAAAATTGTTACTTGTTGAAAATTGAGGTTACAATGGCTTGTAGGGTATGTAACGAGTACTTTTTGTAACAATCTTGTAAAATAAGCCCATTGATTTATATGTATATAACATCAATAGAAAGTTTTAAAGATAAGAGTTGGAAGTAACCCACAGAATGTGAGGAATATATTAATCCATGCGCAGTTTTCCTGTAATCACTCACTCTGTTGACGTTCAGCAAACAGCTGTATTCCACAACTTACCTGCAAGTCTTCCTAATGATTTTCGCTCTTATCTGGTTGGGCGGGCCCCATCACATTCTCCATTTTTCGGAGCTTTGTTGGTCAAGCCATTGTAGATCCTTTGAATCCCGAGGTCAGTCTGGCCAACGTCCGCCCAAGGTAGTCACCAGCACAGGTGGATCAGAGAGAGATTTGCCACCATGCGACTACTTTAATACCAGGACGGTGGTGGGTCTCGGTATTGGTTTACTCTTAGCTATAACTCCTGATGGAAAAGCCGGACACCTTCTTATCTTGGGAGAACATGCCGGGTGGATGATTCCTCCCGCTGTGTATCGCGACCCGACACCCAGGAACACCTCCCAGCCACGGTGCTAGACCGCTGGGACGTTGCCCCTAATGTGGAACTTCATTCTTGAAGTACACGTCTCTACTCCAGCCCAAACAGCAGTAATCTCTAAGATGTGGACTCTCTTCAAAAGCAACACATTCATCCATGAAATTAAATCGTCCAAAAAAAGATTCTTTGTAACTCATCAAGTGACAAATTACGAAGTGGACACCTATCCCTGAACGAGCACCATCACAACATGCGCACTAGATAAGCTACCATTTGATGACAAAAATGTGGGATAAAGTTCCTATGCGCCAGAATAAATCGCCGAAAAAGAAATCCACGACGGAGGTCATACGGACAACTGTGTTCCTTTATAAACGATCTCCATAGAGGTCACGTCATCGCGAATGTGATAAATTTAGTTTGTTCATGTATAAATCGATACGACATACTTGATTGATATATGCGTTCTGGGAAAGTTTCTGGTTTAATATCCGAATGATTTTTGTCGATGGACGAGGCATCGCATTCAAAATGAACAGTTTCTTCTTCACTGCAGCACTGAGTTCGTCAATTCGACTCTCCGCTTGCTTTGACAGCACTGCTCGTTCTGCTTCCGTAGAGTTCAACGCCGGTAAAAAAGTCAAGTGCCTGTCAAACAAATGTTACATCCAATTTTACATTATCTTAGAAATTTAGGTATAATAAAACGCAACACAGTAACACCTGCTAGTTCTGAATGCGCAACTAGACGTTCGAGAAGAGCTAATGAATTTTTCAACAACTTTTAAGTAATCGGACTCACCGCTCAATAATAAAAAGATAGTCCGGTTGTGCTTCCTTGACAATATTCATGTAGTTAAGAAACGGTTTCTGGCAGAAATAGTTCTCGAAATGAGTCTCAACCAAGACCTCACAGGCTGAACGAAATACAATAACAGGCGACATTAGGCAGTATTCCCTCATTATTGCCGGTAACCATACAGCTCTAGTTTTTCACGAAGTAAGCTCTGCAAATTTCTGATGACCGCTATCATTTTCCAGGAAAAAAAAATCATTAATAGTAGAAAAAATAAATGATACAACGAAATATAGCCATCTAAAATCAGCAATTCTTCCTTAGACTTAGTGGTAAGAAGAATAAAAGGATAAAGCTCTCAGTGTTGATCAATCCCTGGGAGATAGGCCATACATTCGACCTCATTAAGCATCGTTTGGAGGTGATTGAATGCATATCTGGCCTTTACAATGACTCGTGGCCCACTGGTGTATCGAGCCAGTGCTGCTATCCTCCTAGACAAGTCTGGTACTAATTTTCCGACCTCGGAGGGATGGAGAGTTTGGTGACCCTCTGTCACGTTGACCGATCTCCTGTGTCTGTTGGCGCCTCCGACCACCGCGCCACACGCGACTTGATGGTATCACATGTTAATTCGATTTCTATTCCGAGAATATCAAAAAATGGCAATTGGGACGAAGCTTTAATTATGAACTATGCGCCAACTTCATCACCACTTAGAGAAGTTCTGGTCCACCTGAGTGGTAGAAAAGAGAAGATTCATCGAAGGTTCGACCTAGCGTACTACTCACAGTGCGGTTCATATGAAAACTAGAACACTGCTTAAAAAACAGTTGAATTTTCTTTGGTCACAATTCTCTATTACACTTGCGACAGGCTACCTGCTTCTGAATAAAGTTCCATTCTTTTGACAGAATGCATGCAGTTCTCATGAAGCACTTTGGCATGATTTGCAGCCCAACTATTTCCCAAAATCAGCAAGGACGAACTGGCTGATTTGTTGGTGTCCTAAACAAGATTTCCTTACTAGAATTTTTGCAGTTTCCCTTAGTGACTGAATCATTGTAACAGAAAACAATTTTATTAGACCTAACCAGTGGCAGAAGTTACTGGCATTTTGACTGCCTAAAAAGGCGACCTAGGAAAGTTCTAGTTCTGGGTTCCGATTTCCCAGAGAAGGAAATCCTTACCCAGCCATCAAATTACTACAAGTACCCAGGTGAAATTGTCCCATGTAAATAATTTTACACCTATACATCGTTGAAAATAATGTGACTAAAATCCAAGGAAATGTGAGGAAATTCTAACCTTGAACGTACACCAACCATGCGGTGGTCTTTCTTTGTAAATGCATCCATCGTAAATTAAATTTGCGATATCGTCTGCCTGGTATTTATTGTTTATTTCGATAGCCACCTCTAAAACACTTCATCGTGAAAAAGGAGTGGAATGTATGGGTAAAACACAGAAATCGATTTTGTTCACGGATCCCTCCGAACAGCTCAAAACCCTCTAAGTTTTTAATGGACTTTTCAAATGTATAGAAATTCGGAGAAGAGATATTAAAAGATCAGAAGAAGATGACTTGCAGCTCTGTTCTTTCGTATTGTTCCCTTACTTTTTCTTCATCCCGATACTTCTTACTTCTCCTTTTTCCCTTACATCCCGATACTTTTTGTGATACTAAAAGTTTTGGCTGGAAAACTTACTCCACTCGTCAGCTTCCAACTTAGATGCCTACCTGTCGTGATGTTCTCGTATGAATTCAGCGACGGTGCCCCAGTCCAGCCACCAAGGAAATCCGTAACAGTATACTTGTAGGAGGCAAATTCTACTAAGTAGTCGCTGGAGAAAATCATGCATGCATTCAGCGCATAGAGTGACACCACCAGAGATACAATGAGAGGTTTTCCAGCACGGCGGTAAAACCGCTCGAAGGTCTCCGTCAGTAACATGGCTATCAGCATTGAGCACACAGCACCAAAAAACCTAACTGTAAAAAAACAATTCGTTAAAAATACCTTAGTCTAATTGCAACTGACGATTTGAAAAGTATAAAGCCTTATCTATATGCGTCCATTTTATAGAGATTGTGTCTTGCATTCTGATTCGACAAAAATCCTTTAATTCTACTACTGGCGTTTGCCAAACAAGTACTTAAGAGGATTTCACTGCGAAAGCTCTATGACCTATTTTGAGCACACCCAACCCTCTACAGCAAAGTTCGGCGAATTGCTCATGGGTAAATGGGTAACACTATTGCAGGGAAATTGAACAGTTTGGTATGAAAAGGTGATTTATAAAGAACGTGAGACTAAGGACAGACAGCTGGGGTACGCGATAGGAACAAATAGAGACTACTGGTGCCTCCTCAAATTGCTAGATAAGCAACGGGAGCTCAGTTGTTTTACATTATGTGTAGGTTATTTTGAACACAGTGAAAGCTGAGAGAAAACAATAAAAGGTAAAAGTGAGATGACGAAACTACCATGTTGGCTACCCAGTGATGTAGAGGTAGCCTTGGAATGAACGATCTGTCGGCATGTATTTGGTACGTGTACGGTCATTGGTCGTGTATTAGAAATTAAAAATCTACACATTTACCTAAGAAGTATAATCACTTGCTCTATTATTCAGCAGCGGCAAAAAAGATATAAGATGGATATAAAGAGCTGCTCAACCCAATAGGGATATGTGATGCATTCGATTCCACTAATCGTAGAGGCGACTGAATGAATTGTGCTCTATAAAGTGAACTTTGGCAGCTTAGAGGTTCAACAAACCGAGTTTTTTTATCCTTCCAAGCAAGTCTGGAAGTGATTTCTCAACCATAAAGATTGGTCATCTGTGAGCTCTCAGTGTGGAATCGAACCAACGGTTATGTTCATCGTAGGGCACCTCTAACCACAGTTCTACATACATCTGTGGCCGTAGTCGATCTAGGCTTTATTATTACCTCACCTTCATTTGTGCATTTTTTGGCAAATTTTTTGTTTTCCGAGAACCGTCTTTACATTCATTCCGCAGATTCCGGCATTACCCGAAATCGATTCGTTTCATCGCATTCTTCATCCACGAAAGGCTACAAACTTGTTGTGCAATGGTTGAGCTGCTGCTCGAAAATTTTCGTCTTCGCTATGAATATCGTTGAATACTGGTCGAGCTGATACTCCATACAATCCTAGCATTTTCTCGACCCCAGAAGGATGGAACACTTGCTGAACTTGATTCGGACTCGAGCCCCTAACTTATTCGCGCTGAGTAGCGTCTCCAACTTTGCTCCAATTTGCGTAAGGTTTTCAAAAGAAGCGTCGAATAATTTTAACACATATAACTTGACGAAAGGGGTGTGTATAGAGCAGTGATCGGAGGCTCTGTGCAATACACATGGGATAGATTCACGTATCTCTGGCCCATCAAGCCCTCCATCCCACCGGGGTCTGAAAATTGGTAGCAGACTAGTTTAGGAAGACAGCAGCACTGGCTCGATACATCGGTAGGCTACCGCAAGTCATCGTAAAGGCCAGATATGCATTCAATCATTTCTAACGATGCTTAATAAAGTCAAATGCGCGGCACATCCCTCAGGGAATGATCAACACCGAGAGCTTTATCCTTTATCCCTTATGAATTAACGTAACATTTGACATAGTGTGATGGCGAATTGAACTTATGAAATTGTGTTAGAGCTAATTAATAATCCTTGTGTGCTGAGTAGATTTTCACTGATTCTAGAGGGATTCCTCGACCTCTTGCACTTCAAAAGAGTGCTCTGGGTAGCTATGACGAGGGTAGTATACGCTTGAATTGTGCTGCACCGTTAAGCTGCAATCCCGGGTCTTACATCAGTGTGAAATGGAAATACATAGTTTATGGATATAGTAGATAGATATAATAGAAATGTAGCAGAAATAAATGGTTTTTTCTCCATAAGCACACACGAGGTTGTTATTATATATTATTCATTTACAACAACTGACGTTTTGGCGGATTTCGCCTTCTTCAGAGTCTGGAAGGGTCAAGTTGACTGCAATCTAGCCAAATACCTCCATAACCAAAACAGAGAAAATATTAAACCAAGATTTCAATCGTATTCGAAACAGAATAGCTTCTTCGCACACTCACCGTTTCGATGAATCTTCCACTGACTACTTCACGTGGAGACCAAGCGCATAGAGTTCACATGGATGGTAATGAGGACGATCTGATGATTAGTATATTGCGACAACCTCATGTGTGCTATTGAAGAAAATAAGGAGTTATTCAACATTGCCGTGGTTAATAGAAAGTCGAAAGTCGGTGTTGGTGATAATGGATGTAATTCTAGAAGACATGAATAACTCGTAAATGACGAATATGGAAGGAAAACAAATATTTATACCCACAGTGAGGCTGAGATATTCATAAACTTCCACCAAACTTGGCCCGCGGTCCAAGTTTTGCGAATATCTCATCGTCTTTGTAGTTGTATTTCACATCATAGCCGTGAAAAATTATAGTAGGGAGCAAATAAAAAGTCAACGATGCTGAGATATTTGCAAAATTCCGGATCGCAGGTGTCCGCGATAGGGAACGAACGCGCTGTTACCCTTTGAGGAGGATGATGCTTTAGAAAAACATAAACACAGTTTTAAAAAAGCTAACATATACTTATATTTATTTAGAATAATTTTACACGTCGATTTCAGCAGTTTCTCAATTCAGTGCCTTCTATTGCATCCGTTATTCATGGTCTTTGGATTTGTGTGTTGTTACAACTACTCCCTTAAGATTTTCTCTCCCACACGAACGTCACTCAATTCATTCTCTCTAAAATTTTAATGATCTTTGTTACAGATCTTTACTGCAGAAACCTTTGGATTTGAAAGCGCCAATTTTCTCAGACAAACATAGCATCAATTTTCCAAGCCTACAGAAATTGCGGCTTAACCGGCTTGATGCGAGTTCCGACTAGAGACCTTCGGTGCATTATTTAACACCAACTCTAGCAAAGCGTTTCGCAAATCTAAAACAAAAAAAGTCATAGAGAAGAAAAGTTTAAAAAAAAATTGAAGATGAAAACGACAAAATAAAGGAGGAAATTCACAGTTAAATTTTGAACGTTGGAAAAAAAGTTGAGTCTCTAAAAAAGTTCTGGGATTAGTAAAGTGAAACAGAACCATGATGCATCAAGGATATCTTGTAAACAGAAATACGTACGATAAACTTTCTTCAATTCGTAAAGTTTCAGCCAACAGTAAACTGGCCAGTGGACGAGATAAAGTGCGTAGGATATGTCACCGATGTATGAAATTCGATAAATAACAGAGAAGCCATCACCACAACAGATAAAGGCACCCGTCAGCATGGTGGTGGTCAACCTGAAGTTCCATTGAGATAATGTTTAATCTGACAGTTCAGTAAGTTCTATTTTATTCTGAAAATCCATTAAGAATGCGTTTAATCTGAAAATTTCGTTCAGTAGAAATTACGAAAATCAATAAATGTGCTAAGGTTCAACTTCAGCAGAATAACCATCTTTCAATCGCAAACTCACTTTAACCATCTTACCTCAAATATAGCTTATCCAGCTCAGATGGATAAACTACGGCTAACAGTATGATGAACAACAAGAAATCTTTGAAGACTTTCGGGGCTCCATTCCTCACACAATCTCCTAGATGGAGACACGATATCGTGAACATTCACGTTCACATTCACATATATTCGATATTACCATGTTCGTTATTCTTCGGCTCCATTGGAAGCGATTTATAGCCGTTTAAAACCGGATGAAACCGACTACTGTAGAAATATGCGGTGTTCCCTTAATTTGAACATGTTCAAAGGGTAAAAGATTATAGCATGGGTTATAAGATTCTTCTTAACATGATAGTCTACAGCACTTCCAATAACTGATACCTTTCTGGAATGACAAATAGCTACTCTACAGTGTCCAGACCTTTTTTATTATGATTATGAATTTACAAGGTAACTAGAACTACGGCCTTCGAATAAAAATGTTCAATATAAATAGGCAATAAAAACAACATCGCTTAAAAAATCACTCTGTCGTCGTCAGGTTACTATTTCATATATGGCAAAAAATGGCACGTTCTCAGATCAGTACTCTAAGGAGGGATAAAGCAGTGGTTACTGACACACCCTACCAGGAAACAAAGGCGCTGGTTCAACCTCCTTCCAACGCTCTCCACCAATCAACGTGTGAAAGCCCTAGCTTGGCTATAACCAAAATTGCAAGGAGAATCGACTTAAGCGATGCTCATGGAAAAAGGCGAAGTCATCGAGCAGTAGCCGAAACAACGCGTGAATTGTCCGAAAACGGTGAATGCGTTCCAAAACGAATCGCATGCTAGAAGTGCTGAGATCAGGACAGTAGACGTGGTGATGAGTCAGGTAAAATGTGAAAGAAACTGCCTTCCTAGCACTTGATGCTATAGTGACGTCAAAAAGCGGCGGGTAAAAAAAATTACTCAAATTTCCTTTCACCTTTTCGGTTTGTTCCCTTTCCCGTGTACGGTTTTGAAACCACGGAAACCATGACTATGTGTGAGGTAGACAACATCAGTCAACGATATCGAACGCACTATCGAGACCTCGCTGCTTGGGGTGTCCATTCTGAAGGGGCCCATACACTCTAACTCCTCTCCCACCCTTTCCCTATCTAGACGATCATAGATCGGGTACACCTTTGTATATGTAGATAAGTCGAAAATCATGTGTCACGAGGATGACACATGATGCCGCTTATCGACGAACGCTGAACATGGATTTTTAGCAGCAGAGTTCTGCGGAATGGCAAGTGAACAAGAGATAGACCACTGCTTCGATTGAGGGACCACTTCATAAAAACCGTGGGAATATGTACGCTCATTGAGTCCCTAAAGTGAGTACAACCTACTAGGTTACTCTCGCTTGTGACAAGAAAGAATGAGATTTGATTCTCATCGGTTGGATAGAGCTGCGA